CAGCGCGTGCCCTGGGGCCGTCCCCGGCTCTGAGCGCCGCGCGCGCGCCCGCAGACGTGCTGCTGCGGGAGTCCAAGTGGACCAGCATGTTCTTCGGGGAGGGCCAGGCCTCGCTGAGCTTCAGCCACCTGCACAAGGACGACGAGGGCCTGTACACGCTGCGCATCGAGTCCCGGGGCGGCGTCAGCGAGCACAGCGCCTTCCTCTTCGTGAGAGGTGCGGGGAGAGGGGCCGGGGCGGGTATGGGCAGGAGGCGCCTGGCCCTCTGCTCCTGGAGTCTCTGGCCTTGTCGCGCGCGTGCCGGCCTCCAGGGAATCTTACACTGGTGTGCAGGGCCCGCGGGTGGGGCCTGCGCCCCCTGGCCGGGCACCCCGCCAGCAGGCTTCCCGAGGAGGGGTCACCGCGCTGCAGGAGTCCCGGGGTAACCGCTGCGTGGGCAGGCGCAGTGGCCGGCACAGACGCGCCTCTGGGTGCGGGCCGGGCCTGCGGCTGGCTCGGGTCTGTGGGGCGGGGACGTGGCGGGAACGTGTCTGTGCCGTGTCTGGGCGCGGCTCGCGGGCTGTCCTCCCGGCGCGCCCGCCTGCCTCTGCCAGGACGCCACTGCCCGGGCCAGGTGGCCTCAGGCCCTCCCCTTCCGTTGCTCTGGCGCGCAGGGCACCCCACTGCCACCCCGCCCGCCCCCTCCGCTGCACCCCACCCTACTCCCACCCCCCCACACACCCCGCAGAAGGCTGGGGGTTGCTCTTCGCGTCACCCGGCTGGCTCGGGGCTCTGCACCAGCAGGCCCCCAGCCCCAGTGCAGGTGCCCGAAGCCCCGTCACTTGGCCTCCCCAGAGCAGACCCATCACCTCCGCACCTGCTGGGCCGCCTCCTTCAGGGCTTTGTTGTTGTTCTGCTTAAAAAGAAGCCGCACATGTTGCGCTTGCTGGCGCCCCTGGAACGCCCAGCACGGACTCAGGCCGGGTTTTGGACGCGCGCCCCGTTCCTGCCAGGTCGGGGTGAGAGTGTGGGCTCCGGCGCGGCCTCCTGGCGTCCACGCGAGAGGGGTGTGGCTGCGCCCGGAGTCCTGGGCTTCTCAGCAGGGGCCGTGGGCGGGGAGCTCAGGCAGCCCTGAGGCCGCGGGCCACCGCCCACCTGCACCGCTGCTGACGCCGCGCACGGGCTGGCTCGGACTGCGCTGGCCGCCCGCAGGGGCAGACGGTGCTCAGGTTTCCGAGGACTGGACGTGGTCATTTCTAAGGTGCTGTTTCCCGGCTGCTGAAGAGGCTATGCTTTTTTTCATTAAGTTTTTGCTAACCTGGCTGAGGTGAGCCGTGGTGACACGGGGCCGTTAGGGTCCAGCCGCCACCGCAGCGCCGACCCTGAGCGCGGATGGCCGCCCGCGCGCGCCCCCTGCGGGCGGGCGCAGAGGCTGCATGGAGCGTGTCCCTCCGCCGGCAGACGCCGACCCGCTGGTCACCGGCGCCCCGGGCGCGCCCATGGACCTGCAGTGTCTCGACGCCAACCGCGACTACGTCATCGTGGCCTGGAAGCCGCCCAACACCACCAGCCAGAGCCCCGTCCTCGGCTACTTCGTCGACCGGTGAGGGTCCTGCGCGGGCGGGGGTCCCGCGGGTGGGGCCCGGAGCCGGCGGTGCCTTCGGGTGGGCCCTTGGCCAGTGGCTGTGAGCTGCGGGCCGGCGGGCCCCTGGGGCCCCTCTGAGCCCCGCCGGTGTCCTGGGGGCTCCCGTCTGTCACCCCCACCCCAGTGGACGGCCCAGATCCAGGCCGCGGGCCCTTGTGGGGCGGTCTGGGTTCTGCGGGCCAGCAGCGAGGGGCAGCGCGGCCAAGAGGCCGGCGGCTCGCGCACGGTCCCATCCGCGCCGGCTGAGCGGCGCGCGGCGCCTCCTCGCTGGGAGCGGGCAGTGCAGTCGGAACACAAGTCAGGGGCTTCTTCGCGCCCCACCTGCCTGGCGCCCCCCGCGAACCGGCCGGTTGCGTGCAGCAGGCCCCTGCGGGGCGCTCCAGACCGCACCGCCCTCGCGCCCATTCTGATGGTCGGTGGGAGAAGGGGCAGTGGCGGGCAGCTCTGAAAGGCCTTTGGGGAAGACTTTGCCCAGCTGCGTTTGTCGGGAGTTGGTCCCCAGCTGCCCGGAGGGGCTGCGGCCCCCCGCGGGCACCCCGCACGTCCACGCACGTGCCTCTGGCTGCTCTCG